AGGCTTCCCGCTGAGCAGGGAGCCTGATGTGGGGCTCAATTCCAGGACCCTCAATTCCAGGACCCTGATCATGACCTGAGCCGAAGGCAGACGCTTAATGACCAAGCCACCCAGGCTCCCCTGAAGAGTTTTAAAAGTCTCAGAAAAAATATTTATGGTATAATGTTAAGTGAAAAGAAGCAGGATACAAAACTAATGGAAAGTGTGATCTCAGCTATTAAAATATACATAGAAGATAATAGACATATAGATATAGATAAAAGGTATAAACAGACCTCTATGTTTGTATATGCAAAGCCTAGACCTGAAGGATACATACATTGGTAACATATTTGTCTCTGGGGAGAGGAACAGAGGCTTGGAATCAGGGGTGAAAGTAGGACTAACTTTTCACTATAAACCTTTAGGTTACATATTACTTATTTTTTATGGAAAAAATTAAGAAAATAATGCCAGCTACAAATGGTAATAAGAATGCTTGCAAACAGTAAAAGTTTGAATTATTTTCAATGTATGTATTACTTTTTAAATCAACAACTAATAAAATATAATTTAAAAACAGATGGTACTTTGTTGCCTAAGAAAATAAGGGAGGGAATACATTTAAATGTTAACAATGGCAGTTTCTGAGTGGATAGGGTGTCTTGTGTTCTTTTCTAATTTTTTATAATGAATATATACTTTTTTTTTTAAGATTTTTATTTATTTATTCAACAGAGAGAGAGAGAGAGCACAAGCAGGCAGAGCGGCAGACAGAGGGAGAGGGAGAAGCAGGCTCTCCGTCGAGCAGGGAGCCTGATGCGGGCCTCCATCCCAGGACCCTGGGATCATGACCTGAGCCGAAGGCAGCCGCTTAACCGACTGAGCCACCCAAGCGCCCTGAATATATACTTTCAAAGCAGAAATTCCCTCTTGTAAACAAAAATGACCGGCAGCAGAGTAGAGGATGGTGTGAAGCTGTTGTGGTTGCTTCCCTTGTTTTAGGTAGAAGAAAAGCGTAATTTCTTTGAAAAGCTGAAAAGTTAGGTCTATGAGACAGTTTAAGCAAGCAGTGGCATCCTCCCCTCCAATCTCATTTTCATCTTCCATGTATTTGCTCCACATGTCCAAGTGTCCGGGGCATTTTCCACACCCACTAGTGAGTGTTGTCATGGGGCAGATTGATATAGGAATGGGACTGAGGGTCTCAGATAAAGGCTTGAGAGCTGGGAGAAAAGAGAAAGAAGAACAGAGGCCACCGAAGGCTACTGGTGTCATATTAAATGATGTGGGAAACAAAGGCAGAAGAAAAATTATTAAATTTCCTTACTACCTACAGCCCATTAACAAGTCCTTGAAACAGGCAGAGTGACATTCCTCAAGGGGCTCAACTTCCTCTAAGTCAATGTTGACACCTTGCTAAGGGCAAAAGGCCCACTTAGCCTGATCCCTCCCCAATCCTCTCTCTCTCTCTCTCTCTCTCTCTCTCTCGCTTTTTTTATTATTTATTTATTTGATAGAGACACAGTGAGAGCGGGAACACAAGCAGGGGGAGTGGGAGAGGGAGAAGCCGGCTTCCCCCGGAGCAGGGAGCCCGATACGGGGCTCGATCCCAGGACCCTGGGATCATGACCTGAGCCGAAGGCAGACACCTAACAACTGAGCCACCCAGGCGCCCCTCCAATCCTCTCTTGATGAGAGAGCAGAAGGTTGACAGAAGACAAAGCACAAGCTGACACCCTGCAACCTCCCCCCCCCCACTCCTGGGTAGGACAGTGTGACGTTCTTCCAGGAATCTCCCAACTATCAATGTTAATACCTTGCTAGAGGGGAAAACAACCTTAACTTGACAATGGCAAGGCCTCCATTATCTTGTAGGTCCTCTTTAGCATATGAAAATTCTTTTGAAACCTCCCTTTTCCTTACCTCCCCAACCCCATAGTATATAATCAGCCACCCCTCATAACCCAGGTGCAGCAACTCTTTCTGCCCACTTGTCCTGTCCCCGTGCTTTAATAAAATCACCTTTTTGCACCAAAGACGTCTCAAGAATTCCTTCTTGGGCGCCTGGGTGGCTCAGCCGTTGAGCGTCTGCCTTTGGCCCAGGTCATGATCCTAGGGTCCTGGGATCGAGCCCCGCATCGGGCTCCCTGCTCCAGGGGAAGCCTGCTTCTACCTCTCCCACTCCCCCTGCTTGTGTTCCCTCTCTCGCTGTGTCTGTCTCTGTCAAATAATTAAATAAAATCTTTAAAAAAATTTATTTCTCGGCCGTCGGCTTCAAACCCTAACGTCTTTCCTACATCATTAAAGCGCTGTTAATAATCCTACATATTTGTCTGACCTTTCTGCAAGAGAGCTTTAAATTTTCGTCAGTTCCTTGTCCTTAGAGCTCACCTGAGAGGCATATAGAGCTAAATCCACCAGTCAAAATCTTTCCTTTCCTTTGAGGAACAAAAACAGGAATTTCTTTTTCTTTTTTAATTAAAATTTTTTAAAATTTAAATTCAATTAATTAGCATATAATGTATTATCAGGTTCAGAGGTGGAGGTCAGTGATTAATCAGTTGCATATAATACCCAGTGCTCCTTACATCACGTGCCCTCCTTGATGTCCTTCATTCAGTTACCCCATACCCCCACCCCTCTCCCCTCCAGCAGCCCTCAGTTTGTTTCCTATGCTTAAGAGTCTCTGGTTTGTCTCCCTCTCTGATTTCATCTTGTTTTAATTTTTTCCTGTCTTCCCCTATGATCCTCTGTTTTGTTTCTTAAATTCCACATATCAGCAAGATCATATGATAATTATCTTCTCTGACTGGCTTATTTTGCTTAGTATAACACCCTCTATTGCCATCTTCGTCGTTGCAAATGGCAAGATTTCATTTTTTGATGGCTGAGTAGTATTCCACTATGTATATATACCACATCTTTTTTATCCGTTCATGTCAATGGACATCTGGGCTCTTTCCATAGTTTGGCTATTGTGGACATTACTGCTATTATAAACATTGGGGTGCAGGTGCCCCTTCGGATCACTACATTTGTATCTTTGGGGTTAACACCCAGTAGTGCAATTGCTGGGTCGTAGAATAGCTTTATTTTCAACTTTTTGAGGAACCTCCATACTGTTTTCCAGAGTGACTGCACCAGCTTGCATTCCAACTAACAGTGTAAGAGGGTTCCCCTTTCTCTGCATCCTCGCCAACATCTGTCATTTCCTGACTTGTTAATTGTAGCCATTCTGACTGATGCGAGGTGGTATCTCATTGTGATGAGTGATGTGGAGCATTTTTTCATGTGTCTGTTGGCCATTTGTATGTTTTCTTTGGAGAAATGTCTGTTCATATCTTCTGCCCATTTCTTGATTGGATTATTTGTTCTTTGGGTGTTGAGTTTGATAAGTTCTTTATAGATTTTGGATACTAGCTCTTTATCTGATATGTCATTTGCAAATATCTGCTCCCATTCTGACTGTTGTCTTTTGGTTTTGTTGACTATTTCCTTCTAAAACAGGAATTTCTAAAGAGAGTGACACCCTGGACATTATCTCATGTGAGGGCTGTCCTCCCACCCTCTTCTGATCACTTACACACCTGTCCAAGAACCCAGTGCTGAGCATAAGGAGAAATTGCAGGTGGAGAAGTAGGGCACCTGCTACTCCAATAGGACTATGGGACCGAGTGCTGGATTATGGGGTTCAGATCCAAAGTGTTCTAGGAAAGGTGGCAGGTTTGAGAGAGCTGGGATCTCGGAAGGCCTGGCACATAAATAAATACTTGCTGAATGGATGAGTGAGCAAATAAATAAAGGATCGAGGCTTTAAGGGATTTGGAACAATAATGACTAATGTTCACAGCTGTGTGGGATTTACCAGTTTTTTAAGGTTTTACTTATTGTTATCTCATTTGAGTCCTCTAACAGCCCTGTAAGAAAAGCAGGGCAGAAATTGTCCTTTCCATTTTCCAGATGATGAGATTGAGTCCCAGAGGGATGAGGTAACTTTTATTAATCCAGCACACATTTACTGAGTGCTGATTTTGTGCTAGAGGCTAGAGATGCAGAAATGAAGTACATTAGATCCAAGATACTTGGTCTGAAGGAGGAGCTGGAATAGTAAACAGCTGTGAAATGATACCAGCGCTGTTAGTGTGCTCTGGGGGCATAGAGGCAGGAGTGCATGTATACCTCTGCCATGCACAGGGAAGGTGAGACTTCATTTGGATCTATAAGCATGAAGAGGAGTTTATTAGAAGAGTGTTGTGAACAGAAAGAATGCATGTCTAAAGGGACAAAGCAAGAAATAACATGGCATATTTAAAGTGTAATTTGGTATAAAAGTGGCACAGGTTGGTAGGGAGAAGGCCTAGGGGAAGATAAAGTTTAGAGAGTTTATTCTTTGGTTAGTTGGTTCTTTGTCAAGTTAAACAGTTTGGGCTTGATCTTTAGAGCCATGGGGAGCCATGAATGATTTTGAAACGGGAATGATAGCCCTGTGCTGAGCCTTTCCTGGAATATTCATGTGTTTACTGTTTTGGCTTTTTCTTTTCAAAACTTGGCTCAGGAGCTGCCTCCTATGGGAGACTCTCCTTGACCATGATGCCTTCAAATTGGGTTAGATGTCAGATGTTTCTTGTGGGCTTCCTGGGCCAAGGCTTCCCTCCGTCTTATGACTTATCTACTGACTTGTTACCCTGTGTTTACATGCTTTTTCACTCTAATCTGTGGCCACTCAGAGGTCATACACCATGTCTGATACATATTTGTAGTCCCTATACCCAGCACAGGGCTTGACCCAGAGCAACATGCTCAGCAAATATTTGCAGAAGGAATGAATGGGAGGAACCGGGTTCCACCCCAATCCTGAGACAACCTTTGGATCAGGTGCAGTACTGGGGTGATTCTGTGGTGTGTGTGTTTCTTCAGTGATGCTTGGGTGGAGAGTATGTTTGTGAATAGTGGAGTGACCATTAAAGATTGGTGACACTGGAGGTGTGTTCCTGAGTGACCACGGGTGTCTCCTACAGATGGCTTCCGTGACTGATAGTAAAGCTGGAGTCAAAGATGCTTCCGACCAGAATTTTGACTACATGTTCAAACTGCTCATCATCGGCAACAGCAGCGTTGGCAAAACTTCCTTCCTCTTCCGCTATGCTGACGACACCTTTACCCCAGCCTTCGTCAGCACTGTGGGCATTGACTTCAAGGTGAAGACAGTCTACCGCCATGAAAAACGAGTGAAGCTGCAGATCTGGGTGAGTCCTGGGCATCTTGGGGTGACTAGTCTGCTAGTATAAGGGCTGGGAGGTGGGTGCCAGTTTGGAACTTCTGGGTCTTATGACATCAAGCACCAGTGCTGTTGAAGGTCTGGCCCCTGGACTGCCCCTTGCTGATTTTATAGAAGTTTCTCTCCTCTGGGGGCTCAGTTGATTCTGCTGCTTAACTAAGAGGCTTTATCCTGCCCATACACATGAGTGACCAAGAATCTGGGCTTTGGAGTTAGAAATTTGGATTCAATTTCCAGTTCTGCCACTTATTAATCATGGAATCTTGACTAAATTACTTAACCTCTCTAGGCTACCTTTTCCTCTTTGGGGATTATAATAGCATCTACATCGTAGGGCTGTTGGTTCTTAGCATAGCTCCTGAAACTTAGTAAATGCACAGTAAATGTTAGCTCCTGTGTCCATAATCTATCACTGCATAACAAATCACTTCAAAACTTGATGGCTTAAAACAACAATAGTTCATTATTACACAGTTTCTGTGGATCAAACATTTGGGAGTAGCTTGGTTTCTATCTTGTGGCCTCTTATGAGGTTGCAGCCAGATATTGGCTCAGGTTGCAGTCATCTGAAGGCTTGAGTAGGGCTGGAGGATCCCTTCGAAAGGTGCTTACTCATGTATATCAGGTATTGGCTGTTAGCAGGAGGCCTTAGTTCTTTCCCATGTGGTTCTGTCCTTGGAGTTGCTTAAGTATCTTCATGGCGTCCCCCAGGGGGAGAGAGCCAAGAAACCAGAGAGAAAGTGGCAATGTCTCTTATTACTTAGGCTTAGAGTAGTCTGTTGGTCACTGATTCAGTGTAGGAGGAAAGTAAACAAGGATATGAATCCTGGGAGGTAAGGATCATTGGGGACCATCTTAGAAGCTGGAAACCACAGCTATTATTATTAGTATTTACTACCAATTTATTAGTACAGTGGTACTAATTATATATATATATATCTATACATATCTCATATATATATATGAGATGATATAGCAAAATGTAGATCATATACTTTTCAATAATGAATTAGTACCAGGATTGGAAATTTTGAAAATTAGTGATTTAAAGTATTCAATGCATGTGTTATTTATTATCTCTCCATTCAGCTTGTTAAATGTACATTAATACATTATGCATATACCTTACTGGCTGTATACAATACTTTTCTTTTTATAAATTATCTCCATATATTATCTTATAATTAACCCCCTGGGGCAGATATTATTTTAATTCACTCCTATTTTACAGAAGAAAAAAATTGAGACTCAGTAATTAACTTGCCTTAGGTCGAACACACAGTTGCAAAGTAGAATTCCAACTCAAACCTTCTGATTCCAAGTTACATGCTCTTTTCTCTACACTGTGCATGTGAAGTCTTGCAGAGCCCATACTTCCATTTATGATAGTTAAGTATAAATTTATATAGAGATAAAAGTTTATTTTGTTCATTTAGTCTCTCTTAAAAGTATTGAGGAATTATGAGTTATTAGAAATGTAAGAAGCTAAACAGACTACTTAGTTCATTGGTTCTAGAAGTGTGGTTTTAGTCCCAGCATTACCTGGGAATTTGTTAGAAATGCAGTTCTAGAAATGCAAATTCTCACGCCCCTCCTGAGACCCACTAAATAAGAAATTCTGAGCTATGGCCCAACAATGTGTGTGTTATAACAAGCCTTCCAGGTGACTTTGAGGCAGGCTAAAATTGAAGAACCACTTTGGTTTAACTACCATTTGGTTTGCCCATCTCATGGTGAGAATCAGTAAACATTTATTAAGTACCTATTATGTGCCAAGTGCTTCCCCTTGTGTGGTCTAACATCCTCTTCATAGCCAGTGCACAGAGAGATGAGAGCACAGGATATTGGGGCATGGTGAGTAATACAGGGGAACTGGAGTAAGGCTGTGGAGAGCTGGGAGGGGCGCTGAGAGAGAAATTTGCTGGAGAGGCTATCAGGCAGCAGCTTGAGGGTCAGGGAGAACTTGCACAGCAAACAGAAGTTTCTTGTCATGGGCCAGGGTTTACCTACCTGATAATTGTTGAGAGAGCTGAAGAAGCTATTAGAATTTATTTTTATCTATGAACATAAAATGCATGTTTACTAATATTTCTTATGTGGATTGACATTCCACATCACATGGTCACATATCCTGAATTCAAAAAGTCTTCCAGTAGGGAAGACATTCTGCCCTTCTAAGGGATTGGCAGGGGTGGTTCCCTCACTCCTTCATTTATGTTCAGCCGTTGTGAGCTTTTGCAGTGGATTTATTGATTATACCACCCTTATTTAACTAAATAAACCTTCACGCTGGATATGTGGTTTTAAAAGTGTCCTGCAAATAGGGCGCCTGGGTGGCTCAGTTGGTTAGGCAACTGCCTTTGGCTCGGGTCATGATCCTGGAGTCTAGGGATCAAGTCCTGCATCGGGCTCCTGCTCAGCGGGGAGTCGGCTTCTCCCTCTGACCCTCCCCCGTCTCATGTGCTCTCTCTCTCTCTCTCTTTCTTGCTCTCTCAAATAAATAAATAAATAAAAATTAAAAAAAAAAAAAAGTGTCCTGCAAAGAAACCTCTGCCTGAAGATTATACTCAGTATAGTGAGCCCAATGAGCACGGAAAATGGCTGAACTGATGTTTCTCTGACTCCCAGCACAAGTTCATTGTCAGGCATGTTTTGAGGTAAAATCGATGATGATCTAATTAGATCTGACATAGTCAATCACATTGCTTTTGCTAAAAAAAAAATTGGCAAAGAGATTTTGTGCATGTGTGCTTTCCTATAGCAAAAAAATCTGTACTGTTCATAAATGCATTAAAATGTAAACATTGAAATATTAGTTATATCATTTTTATGTATTTTAACATCTTTTGTGTACAGAAGTAGGTATATATGTACATATGATCTAAGTAAATATACAAATATTGTGGTTATGTGCTCACATGGCCTTACCTACAGGGGCTTAAATTTGGAGACCGTTGCCAGACAGTGGGGAGCTATAGAAGGGTTTTATCAAGGTCAGATTTGCATTTTAGAAAAATCCCTTGCTTCGGTTTGGAGGATAGATGGAAGCAAGGCAAAGAAGCCAGTGGTTTGGGTAAGTTACAAAGGGCCTGAATTAAGTCTGCTTGGGCTGTGGTAACAAAATACCACAGACTCAGTAGCTTAAACAACAGAAATTTATTTTCTCACAGTTTGAGAAACTGGAAGTCCAAGATCAGGGTGCCAGCTAGGTTGATGTCTGGGGAGAGGTCTCCCCAAGGGTTGCAGGTGGCCACCTTCTAGCTATGTGCTCACATGGCCGTTCCTTGGTGCTTATATATGGAGAGTGAGTGGGCTCTCTGGTGTCTTTTCTTATAAGGACACTAATCCTATCAGATCAGGACCCCACTCTTACAGCCTCAATTAACCTTAATCTCTAACTTAGAATCCCCATCTCCAAATATAGCCACATTGGGGTTAGGGCTTCAATGTATGAATTTTGGGAGAATACAGCATTTGGAACATAATAGTAAGACAGTGACAAAATAACCTAAGGGATGGAAATGAGGGTTTGCAGGTTTGTCAATGGTGGGCTACATGTGATAACATAGTATTGTGCCTGGCATGTATTAGGAACACAATAAATGTTAGGTTCCTTTTTTTCTGTGCTCCTAATCCATACGCAAAGGCTGACTGGGTCCCTTCCCAGGTTTTCCACCTGTGGTTCCAGGAGTGCTGGAACAGGACAGGCGCTGTCTGAAGTGTTCAATTAAATTTCTCCAGCCAGTTTGATCTCTTGGGATTTCAGAAAGCCATTGTCAGGGTGGAAGGTGGAGAGAGGGAACAAGAGGAGGTTCTGAGCATTGCTGAGCAGGACCATTCACGAAAGGAGTTTCTCTCATCTCTGAAGGGTGTTGGATGATGAAGGTATTGGTAGTGCTTTGTTCCCTGGGGTCCTTGGCTACATAGGCCCCTGAGAGCCCCCTGTTTCATGAGAGGTTAATTATTGTGGATCAGAGAAGAGAATCTTACTGGGGAGGTGGGGGTAGGGGAGAAATCTCATTAATAGAGAGTGAGAGCATGCACAGGTGTGAAGGGAGAGAGACTTGGTAACTCCACAGCAACAGACCTGACTAGAGGCCATTTACTGCTGGGTGCTTGTTGCCAAGCAACCGCTGGAGGCCTGTGGGAAGAGATGAGTGGGAGAGGGCCTTCCACTACTTCCGTTTGGGGCCCACTTCAGGGACTCTTAGGTCTGGTGCTGGTCAAGGGAAGAATCGGGGTGTCTGCAGAAGGACTGAGCTGACCTAGGACTCTGGAGTCCTGGGTTTCAGTCCTGGCTCTGCCCTCTAGTCATGTGATCTGGAGTGACCCTTCTTCTCCACGGGCCTGTTTCCCTAACTATCAAAGGGAGAAAATAATCCTTGCTCTTCTTGCCTCATGAGTTGTTATGAAGATCAAGTGAGGAAATGCAAAGGAGTGCCTAAAGAGAACTCTGAAGCCTTGAGGAGATCAGGGGATTATGGATGTTGTCAGCCACATGAATTCTTCTTGTATGTGATTTCAATCATTCTTTGTATCTTTCCCACCTTCCCTCTGACCCAGGGAGGTAGTTATCTTCATAAAGAATGGGTGTTTGAGGTCGGAGATGTGAAGTTCCTTATGTGGAGCCAAACCGTAAACTTCATTCTTTAATTCATTAAGTAGACATTGTGACGGGCATTGTACTAGCTGTGGGGAAATAGCCTTCCTGCTCGCATGGAGTTTGCCCTCTAGGAGGGGAGATAGACACTAAGTACATGAATAAAAAATACCTAATTTGGGGGCACCTGCGTGGCTCAGTCAGTTAAGCTTTGGACTGTTGGTTTTGGCTCAGGTCATGATCTTGGGATCATGAGATCGAGCCCCACATCAGGCTCCATTCTCAGCAAGAGTCTGCTTGGGATTCTTTCCCTTTCCTTCCCCCTCTGCCCCTCCCTCTGCATGTGTGTGTGCCCTCTCTCTTTCTCT